AAGCACTCTGAAGACAGAAAGTGCACTTGGCGCTGACGATCGTTTTCCATAAAAGGTCTTTGAACCCCAACACTGAGCAGGAAGTTCCACAGCCCGACAAACTACCTGCCGTGTTGGACGGCCATCTGATCTGCCCCTCCCAACCACGCATGACTCAGTATCCAAATGCTACAGCCTGATTTACACAGGCCATTTACCTCCACCGCCCACCGTGTACTGCACGAGCCACGCTGGAGGGGTAACCCAGGCAGACGTTCATCTCTCACCACCACCCCAATGGAAGGCCTAACTCTACCGAGGGGGGTGGAGTCTCCCCACAATGGAGGCATCAATGGCACGACAGCAGCACAAACCTGCCAGAGCATATTAAGGAGCCAGCTACACGGTGTTAATTGAACTGGCAGGCAAGCGAGAAAGAAAGAAGTTTTACAAGGGTCACAGCAGGCCTGCTGCAGAACCTACAATCAGGGGTTAGCAGGTCACTCATTTCTAGTGCTCCAAGCTTTAAAGATAACGATTCCCAAAGGGCGGGAAGAGACTAGGGCAGAGGCGAAATTAAATTCTGGGCTTTCCGTGGGACCTGTTTTTCCTCTCAGGTTCTCGCTCTTTTATAGATATTACAAATACTTTTGTATGTGAAGATTTCCACTGCACACTGCACGCTCAGTGCTTTGAGAAATATAAAGCGCTATATACGTGCTACGTGGCTAGAGCCTGGCACCAGGGGCCCTGAAACTTGCATTCTAGTCCCAGTTTGGCCATGCAATGGCAGTGTCCTCATGGGTGATTCCCTGTCCCGCTTTGTGCCTCGGTTTCCCCACTGTCCAATGCAGATAACAATACCCACTTCGCAAAGTGCTTTGAGATCTTTGGGTGACAAGTGCTTTAGAAATGTGAGGTATTATTAACTATTGATGCCAGGATATTAGAGGGAGAGGCAGAGGAGAAATTATAGACAGAGAAATGAAATAACAACTATACATACATCTGTTTCAGAGCATTATTTAGCCTAAAGGAGAAGGAGCCTGAGGTGATGCAGTTAGTGAACCTTATTCCCCATGCTCTTCCTAGTTCACAAAACCCCTTTACTCTATTTCCCTTAGTCTCTCCCCATCTGGTTTCCGGTGATAGTGATTCATGTTTGTGCCCGGTAATAATAACCTACTTTGCCATCTCTCCATGCACTGCAGTATTAGGAAGCCATTTAATTGTCCAATGCCCTACTAATCCCCACCACCATCCCCTCAAACCTGAGGACTTCTAAGAAACACGATTGCTGCCGTGCGAGGTCATTCAGAAGCTTAGCGATTCCGAATGCTTCCAAGTCGGTCACGGACAGAATTAGCTGTCCAGCGTTGCCGGGGTTTGCACACACACAGATTAACACCATGAGTCCCAGAAGAGACAATGTGACAGAGCTCAGTATGTCATCTAGGACAGCGATCTCCCCTTTGGGACGACGTGGAATGGAAATGGAGCAACAGTCAGAGGTCAGAAATCTTGCTGAAAAAAATCCCATGAAAAACAGACCCTCTGAGAAAAGGAAAACTGAGAAACATCAGTTCTCTTTGCCCAGCATTTCCTTGGAGGGCGAGTTAAAGGGGTTAGAGCCCTTGAAAGGAAACGTGGCTGCAAGGAAGAGACAGAGTCCCTGGAATGAACAAAGTGGGGCACAGGTCACATGGGTCTCCTCAACTGCAGACACATCCCTTAGGGATCTAAAGACTTGCACTCTTGGGCTCAAGACACCTAGAAGATCATCTGAAGCTCTGGGATGAGAGCCCCGATTGACCACGCTTCTTCTCCTGCACATTGAACTTTCCACTGTACGGCTATAGCTCATCTGTGGCAAGAGACCGAGCACTCTTGGGGGCTGGCCCAAACAGTGGAATGAACTCCCCCAAGAACCAAGGACCGTCCCACATCTCCCCACCTTCTGCTCCAAGTGCAAGGGGCACTTCTTTGGCCTGCCTTCACACAAAGCAGCATGTACATTTAAAAACCAAACGCAACCCTACCACACCAAAGTATTCCACTGCACACACAACTCACCCCCAGGGCGAGGATGGAAGAAGAAATCACAGATGACAGATGTCAGTCATGTCACTTAATGCTCTACTGCAGTGTTTCCCAAACTTGGGACGCCGCTTGTGTAGGGAAAGCCCCTGGCAGGCTGGGCCAGTTTGTTTACCTGCCAAGTCCGCAGATCCGGCCGATTGCGGCTCCCACTGGCTGCAGTTTGCTGCTCCGGGCCATTGGGAGCTGCTGGAAGTGGCGTGGGCCGAGGGATTTACTGGCTGCCGCTTCCAGCAGCTCCCATTGGCCCGGAGCAGTGAACCACAGCCAGTGGGAGCCGCGATCGGCTGGACCTGCAGACGCAGCCACGGTGATGAAGGCGGGATAAGAACCTGCACAGAACAGAATAGGGAAATGCCGCATCCAGTGGCCCCGCTGGTGCCAGTCACTTGAAAGAGGTCCATATGCTGCCCATTGGCTCCCTTGGGCAGGTTAGTGTAGCACAGGCCCCAGGCTAAACTAAGAACCCCCAATACATTATCATCACAGGGTAAATTTGGGGCGAGGGCAGGGAGCAATGATACTCTTCTACGCTCCACCCACAAACCAAAATCCACTCAGTTGAGACCCCATTCACATCAGATTGTGATTGTTTTCATAATATGATCATCCCCTTCCTTTTTTTGATCAGCAGAGAGATAATTAACACCATTGACATTAAATGATCAGTGTTGGATAGTCCAGTTAAATAAATAAAATAATAAATGAATGGAGATATCCTATCTCCTAGAACTGGAAGGGATTGAGTCCAGCCCCCTGCCTTCACTAGCAGGACCAAGTACTGATTTTTTTTGCCCCAGATCCCTAAGTGGCCCCCTCAAGGATTGAACTTACAATGCTGGGTTTAGCAGACCAATGCTCAAACCACTGAGCTATCCCTCCCCCCTTAAAATGTCCCATTGGGCTGAATGGGACAGTTCACATCTTTCAGAGACATTGTTTCTGGCTCTGCAAACTGAGGCACTCATCAGCACATTGATTATGGTTGGTTCACGTTTTGAAGATTTTCTTTTAAATCCTAAGGGCTAGAAAAATGCTTCTTTTAAAATGAAAGCTGAGTTTCTGGAGCACAAGGTAAAACTGATGTGATGATGGGGGAGCTGGCAAGGATGATAACGTGCACCCTTGGTTGCATGTGTGTCTGCCGTCTTGGGCTGCAATCTCATTTTATTAGCCACAGAGCTGCTCTAGGAATATCAACTATCAGGAGTAGCCAAAAGACATTCTGAACCCACGGAGAGATGAAAGGTTTATTTGTCATCATTGGATATCTGCCCATAACTACAACTTATCTATCTGAGCTACTTATATGGCCCTCATTACAGTAGTATCTGAGCACCTCCTAATCTTTAGTGTATTTATCCTCATAGTATCCCTGTGAGGAAGGGGCGTGCTGTAATCCCCATTTTACAGACAAGGAATTGAAGCTCAGAGAGAGTAAGTCACTTGCCAAAATCAGACCAGAAATCTGTGGTGAAACAGGGCATTGAAACCAGGTGTCCCAAGTTAGCACGCTAACCACTAGACCATCCTTCCTCTCTGAACCTTGCTTTCCAAACCATTCTTTTACCTCTGAACCTCAACAGCTTGCAGAAAAATGGCCAATACATGTTCTCACCACAGTTTCTTCTTCAGTGGCCTGGTCAGGGTCAGCCTCTAAGGAGAATTTGCCACCTGGAGCGTTTTTCTTGTGGCGTTTTTCATTGTCAGTGACTTAGTGAGTTACTGTTCTCAGCATATGAATACAGTCAGTGGCATTCTGGATGTCCTCAAGAAACTGAGAACTCCTGTCCTCTTTGCTTCTGTTCAGCTGATTTCTGTTCCAGTAGTACACTAGAGATAACAGATGATCTGGTGCAGATTATATAACTGTAACCTTTGCATATCACTAAAAGCCACTTTCTGGAATGAGGGGCAACTATTTTGACTTCTTATCGGCCTTCTTCTGTTCTAGTTCCCTATACTTAATACAGGGTTTGGTAACTACTTCAGAGTTCACACCCTTGGGCTCAAGAAAACTGTTATCGCAGATGTTGGCACAAAGGTTGACGTCCTTCAGCCCTTAAGTCTCCGAACGGATCCTGATAAAGCACTGTGAGATGGGTTGCAAGGTTATAACAATGCTATGAGTGGCTCTCTTGAATCTACCAGGGCTTTTTAAAAAGCAAGTTCTTTGCTACTCCAAAGGACTTGATGCTTCTGAGTTACGTAATAAAGGTGTGATGCACAGATGCACAGTGATGCTGAGAGAAGAATGAACAAGCGCAGAGACTCCCCTGACCTGGGCCAGTATTGTAAAGGTCATGTCCCTAGCCCATGTCAATGCTCAGTCTCCAAGGCAAGGGTGGGTACTTGGTATATCCATACCTCAGTGGTGGGTATCAATCCCCTTGAGTGAATGTCTATGCCTTGTGTCCTGGGGGTGGTAGGGTGGGTGCTTATCCCCTGTGCCCTGGGGGTGGAGGGTAACATGGTCTGTCCCATCATTTCCCCCCTTACTTCTGGCAGAACTGCCAGTGCCATGTGGCAGCCATACAGTGCGCAGCAGATGCTCCAAGGCTGAGGTGTCCTGCCTGATGCCTGCTTCTTTTTGCCTATCCCCACCAGACTGTTCCCATCTATCCGCCATCGCCCACCCTGCTATCAGGAAAAGAGCTCGTTTCTAGGCACCTCTCTCAACTCCAAACTAATCAGGCACCTCTTAAGTCACCCCAATACCTCCTCTCAGAGGGGTCCTCCGCCATCCCGCACAGCTCTACGCAACTTGCTCCACAAGAAGGACCCCATCTCACAACTACCAATCAACTAGATTTTTCCTTTTGCGCCCGCCTCATCAGGGCAGCTCACCCAATCAGCATCGAGCCGGGAGAAAAGGTAGGATAGGTTGTACCGTAACGGGGGAGGGGGGGGCGATGTTGAGGTTTAGGTGATGCCCTCACAGAACGATCCCGCCCTCAGTCGCTCACTCAGCCCAGCTCAGCCCCACCCGCCTTCCGGGCCACCCCGACCAAAGAGCCCCGGTGACCTTGCCAAGCGGCGGCGGCTCTGAAGTGCGTCGGCTGCAAAAAGACGCGACGGGCCTAGCGCGCATGCGCCGCCGGCGGGCGGGCGGGGAAGGCCGTCGGCGCGGGCGCAGTGGGACGGCTCGGTGACCGCGCCTGCGCAGTGCGCGGCCTGCGCTCTCGGCTGCCCCTGAGTTATTTATAATGTCGGGCTGGTTCCTGGTGACGTAGCGAGGAGTCCGAGCCGCGTCTGCGAGCGCGTCGGAGCTCCCGCCCCCAGCCCCTGCTGCTGCGATGGGGAGCGAGGTGGCGGCCAGGGGGCTGCCGGGAGCCGGGGCAGCAGCTGGGCATGTGCCAGGCTCCGCCACTGCCTGAGGAAGAGCCCCATGGGCGGCGGGCTCCCAGCGCAGCGCGCGGGGCCCAGCAGCTGACAGCCCGCGGGCGGCCCGGAGGCCTCGCCCGGCCCTGCGGCGGCGGCGGCTTCACCCGTGCCTGGAGGGAGGCTGGCCGCGTGGCCCCGCAGAGCGGAGCCCTGCTCCCACGCCGGCCCGGCCGTGAGTTTGGCATCGGCCGGGGAGAGCGGGCGGCTGGGGGAACTGCGCGCTCCCGCCCCGGGAAGACACGGGGACCCGAGCTACCCCCCCCCTGCAAGCCAGAAAGTGGCCGAGCTACCCCCCCCCCCGGCCCTAGCAAGGAAGAGGGGAGGCTTGGCCCTGTGTTGCCTGCCTGTCTCCTCTCCCCCCCTCTTGCCCTACGCAGTAGCCAGAGAAGAGCCTGCTCGCATAGACGGAGGTGAGCTTCCTAATCCCCCCCCCCCAAACACACACACACACACACACACGCGTGTCAGCAAGGAGAGAGGGG